TCATCCTCGGGAAAAATAAAGGACCTAGTATGATTAACATAAGGCATGATAAGCTTTTTGGCAGGTTTTTACAACTGGAGCATGTAATTTTAAAACGTTTTTGATAGTGGGCACACTAAGAAAATTTCAAGTAGGAACCTAAATAATTGCTAGTTTATTCACCACATCCCTATTCTCCAATCAGCCAAGCCAAAAGGAAAATGTAAAAATTTGATCGATTTTAATTATTTGAAGAATAGGTAAAAGCCTACAAGACAACGTTGTAGAGAAATGCATGTAGAGGTAATCAACCGATGGCCTAATTCCTTTCAAATTCAGAGATTCTTGCTAGCCTCTCCAAAATCTTACCTTTTAATTTTTTTTTCCATTTGTCGATACTTAATTTACATTGTGAATTGCCACATTTATCATGTTAAGCCTGATTCACGAGCTTTTTTAATTCTGATTCTTGAAAACGACCGCTGCCCTTAATTTTTTGGAGAGGGGAAGACGTACTTAAATGCATTGAGAATTTAAAGAGGAACATGCTTGTACTTCTTATCTTGTACAACAATAGTTACAACAGGGAACATTACGCAATACATTTGTGCACAAAAAGTAAAGATAGCCATCGCCTACCACTCCATCATTATTTTGGCTTTCCTCGTTTAGTAAGCAAATTGCAAGTGGACCAGAGAAAGAATAAAAATCAAAAGAAAGGAGAAAAATCAAGAATTACATTGTGTTTTGGCCATGTGCCAAATATAAGTGGAATTTCTTTTTAAAAAATCTCATTACCTTACAGCCGTGATTGATAAGGCTAAATTAGTTGTGGCATAGGTGTTCATGATATCTTACTAAAATACTTAAGTAACTGTTAATCTTATCCGAGATTCGCTTCAGAATTAGGTGTACTACCTTGCTGCGACGCCATAAACCACTAACTACCCAATAAGAATGAGGACTGCGGAAGGACAGGGAGTCAACCATTTATTCGAGAACTTGATGAAGTCGTCGTCACGTGTGGGATTTGCGTGTGGATGCGTTTATACCTCTGATATGTGAGTCATACGTGTGCTAACATCGAGACCTAGGTGTGAGGATAATCAAAGATAAATATTAGTGCGAATGAGAGGAGAGTTAAAGATCCGAGCGGCTGGTGACATGCTGCGGCAAAGGGAATCATGTGTCGGAGGGTGAAGCGACCGGATTTAGAAGTGTGAATAAGCACGTGTCACAACAGCTCTCCCCCTTAGCGAGAGGATTTGGCGAACTTTTTCGTTCAATGGGGTTTTGAAAGGTAGGCCGTGGATTTCTTGCAATTGTGATGGCTCCGTCGAAGATGACTGAGACGGATATCTTTGGAAACTTAAGGGTAGTGCACGCCACACGCAATCGATGGTATCTTATCTGTCCTGCTATTGTCTTACCTTTAAGCTGTTTATCGATCGGGCCAATAAATGCGTCTACTGGAGCTAGTTGTGGTAACCTCCTTTGAACCCCTTTAACCTCCTCCTTTGAGGTCTTCATGTCAAGAAGGCCGGCTTGAGTCTGTCTACAGATACGGCGTCTTCTTTCCCATTGTGGGTGACGATGAAAACCTTTTCTTTGCGTATAAGCACTCTGACAGGTCCATCGTAGATGGGTTGAAGTGGTTGACAAACGGTGTCGCGTCTGACGAAATTGTGCGTGCATTTAGGAAACTCTTTCGGGGTGAATGAAATAGTGGACTGTGGGCGCGGTTTTATTATTTCCAGTTTATTCATTTTCTCCCGTAAACGCTCAACGTAGTTGCATGAGTCCGGCCATGCTGGTTGTAAAGTCTTAATGAAAAACTGTCCAGGCTGTCTAAATGTTGTTCCAAAAACCATTTCAGCGGAGGAAGACTTTAAATCTTTTTTACCGCAGATATATTTATGAGTTGTACGAGGGGTTACGCGTCCGTCCAACGAGATGGGTCACTGTGTGCTGTTAAAGCGTCTTTCAGTTGTCAATGAAAACTTTCTACCATGCCATTTGATTGTGGGTGGTCAGCTGTCATTGGAATGCGGTTCGTCCCCAAAAAATCGTGTGAGATTTCGGAACAGGCTTGATTCAAACTGAGTTCCTCGATCTGTGGTGATGGTGGAAGGGACCCCAAATAAGGCAACCCATCTGTCCACAAACGTTTTTGCGACTGTTCCAGCAGAGATGTCTTGCATTAGAAACGCGTCTTGCTATTGTGTAAAAGGTAACGGAAACCTTTCGAGTGCGGTAAGGGTCCAAAAATGTCAACGCGCACTTGAACGAATCTAGCGTTGGGAACGATGAAGTGTCCAGGAGGAGTCCTGCTGTGGTTTTCCACCTTGAATATTTGACTCCTTACGCAATTTCTAGCTCACTGTGTAACATTGCGATTTATAGGAGGTCAAACATAACGACTTTAGTACAGCTTCCGTGTCGCCCATCGGCTAGGATTAGAAGGGTTATGAAGGGCTTGAAACACTTGTCGTTGCAGCGGCTTAGGTGCGAAAGGACGTTGCGAACCCGTTGAAATGTCGCAAACGACTGTACGTGCGAAGGAAGGTAGAAGGGCTTCAACCAGCCTTATGTGTGCCCTAATGTATTGGCAGAAATTTGTAGGCGTGTTGAAAACCTAGATTATGAGAAATAGCAATCTTCAGCAGCCTGACCTTGAGGGCAGTTAGCGCATGGGATCTGAGAAATTAAGTTATTTTCGAACAGCTAATTTGTTGATAATCTGGCAAGATAAAAGTTTGTACCACTTAGAATGATGTGGAGAACGTTCATAATTTTGGCTGAGTTTTCAAATCACCATATGGCTAAGGTCGGTTTAAACAAGATGAGGTTATTTATATGGGCTTAATAACTAAAGTGATAAAATTGTTCGGTAAATCAAAGATTCATTACTTATAAGTGCATTCTGGATAAATAGGATGCGCCGTATATATGGTTAGGGATGATAATATGCGTTAACATTGCAATCTTTCATTTTGATATATATGAGAAGTGGTAGAGGTGCAATTATTTGCGTTATCGTTACGACGCTGACAGAGATGCTTTGTAATTCGTACTAGGGATTTTACATTGTTCTGTTTGATTTTATTAGAAGTCGCCACAAATGAAGTCGTGAAATAGATTTATATTGTCAAATTCAAACTTTCAGTGAACTTAATCTTGAGATCCATTATTTATGCCTATGAAATCTTTATTTATTTAAAAAATGCTGCCCTTGAGAATAAGTGCATGTAAAAGGTCAGCTGTGGATCTCTTGTCCATATTTAACTGAATTTTACCACCATGTAGGTTTAAGGACTATAGGTTAATTAAAGTGAAATGTAACCCTCTGTATGGTACGTTTTATAAACCATCAAAATCAAGTTGCTGTTAGTAAAGGGAGTTTTGCATTCGAAACTCAATGGTTTTAATTGTGAAAAATATTGCATTTTTTAGCGTTTTCAGGCTTTTGTTTGCGATTTTCAGGGCGGTTAGAGCATCTGATCTACACATGGTCATATCCGCGGATTTGTGATCGCAGTATAAATTTATTAATGGATTGAACTTTTGGTATTTGGTTTTGAATTTATTCCCATAAAATCCAACAAACATAGCATTTCGTTACATTCATCACAAAATTGATACAAAAGTCCAATATAGGATGAATGAAGCGGAGAAAGCCCAACCATCAAAGTAGTCACACGAGTAAAAACTGTAGATGCGGAAAAGAAAGGTCATAGGGCGATCCATTTCCAATGCTAGGATTTTGTTGTGTGCGGTGCAAATTAGAAAACAAGTTATTGAATCTGCATAAAATGAACACTTGATACAAATAGTTTGATCGAAGGTATACAGCAAAAATGGGTTAATTCTGTAAAGACTGAAAAAATGAAAAATATATGTGGACAGATTATTGACAGTATTCTCCATTGAAATAATTCTTTTATTGTCGAGTTATATCAGTTGGACATTGGATTTCGTGTATTTATTTTAGTGAAATTAAGTCGTCCGAATAAGGAAAGCAACATTTCAGCGTATATTGTCCAAGCTTGGATTACGTATTCGCATTAGTAAATAATATTGGTTGACATGAATTTGTAATTTTTAACGCATATTACAGTAATTTTCAGAATTTTGATTGATAGTATTCCATCAAATCCGGCGAATTTTGCAGAATTGGGCAAAAAACTTTGAGGCGTAACAAGAACCTATATCGAGGCAGATCGAACATTATTTAAATAAAATCTACGTATTTTTCAAATTTCAATGAATCACTCCATATTATTCATTTTAAGTTACTTTATGTAAATTTTTTTTATTTATTCGGATATATGTTAGATATTTTACCATAGAATAAGAAATTTCGAAAAGTTATTTATTTCCATGCTCATCCATGGCAATGGCTCTATTCGGAAAGCATATTTTTTGACCACTTTTTCGACAAAACACAAAGTCATTTGTATAATTACTGCAACCTCATTTGATGGGAGTGATATTTTTGTTTGGCATTTAAACTTTTAACTTTAATTATGTGCACACGCGCTTTGTCAGAACTTTTGGGTAGATCTCGAAATCTTCAAAAAGTTTCATTCTCCGAGATGGTGATTTCAATTAATGATTCCTTAGATTGTATATAAATTAAAAGACAATGTAATTAACTGAATTGTGAGACTCATTGAAGCAAAACTCTTCATTATGCTTCAGCTTGCATAACAAAGTAGGTATCGTTAAATTATGCATCTTATTTGCTCAAACCACTTTTAGTTACGTGAACGTTGTCAGTCTTTTGTTTTCAATTGAGGGGAAATTTAGTACAATTGTATATTTTTCTTAATTTATTTGAGGCTGTTTACTCTATATCTTATAGCATTTAAAAAAATTATTAGTTTAGTGCTAGCAAGTTCCTAAAATGTTGAGTGCTCTAGAATTGTTTCACATCGCATAGTAGTTGTTTTACTTCATCAAATATTTTAATTAGGTACCACGCGTACGCATTAGCAGTTCTGCGTTGGAGGTGTCTGGACATGGGTGGTTTGTCGGAATCCTTTTCTCTAAATTACTTCTTCTGTAGTTCGGTTTTTGGATATTGTGAAGCCATTTTGTGCTATTTTGCCAGAAATTGCCCGACCGGAGCGCAAGATTCAGTTTAGAGAACGTGTTCTATGGACGGGCATAACATTAATGATATTCTTATTCTGTTGTCAAATCCCCCTTTTTGGGATCATGTCTTCGGAATCAGCTGACCCCCTCTACTGGCTTCGAGTTATATCTGCTTCTAATAAAGGGACTCTAATGGAACTTGGGATTTCTCCAATTATTACCTCGGGTCTCATAATGCAAGTTCTGGCTGGCATTCAAGCTCTTCAAGTTGGTGATGCGCCCAAGGATAGAGCATTGTTCAACGGCGCACAAAAACGTAATTGCATTTGTGCTCTATATTGTTGCTAGTGTTTGGAATGGTTATTACAGTTGGTCAAGCATCTGTCTACGTGATGTCTGGTATCTACGGCCCTCCCAGTGAATTGGGTGCTGGTATCTGCCTATTGATCATTCTTCAAGTAATGCAGTTAATAGTTGTTATTTTCTGTAGCTTACATTTGCAGGTCTTCTTGTCCTGATGTTAGATGAACTACTTCAAAAAGGATACGGTCTGGGTTCTGGCATTTCACTTTTCATCGCTACTAATATTTGTGAAACGATTATTTGGAAAGCATTCAGTCCTATTACCATAAATACCGGTCGAGGTAGGTACCCACTAGCTACTGCAGATATGTCCCTCTAGGAACTGAATTCGAGGGAGCCGTAATTTCACTTTTCCAACTGTTGGCCACAAGAACCGACAAAGTTCGTGCCCTTCGAGAGGCTTTCTATCGACAAAACTTACCTAACCTAATGAATCTCATGGCCACTGTCCTAGTTTTCGCCGTGGTTATATACTTCCAGGTTAGCCTTATTGTTGCTGTATTACAATGTCCTAGAGTTTTCGTGTGGAAATTGCGGTGAAGTCCATCCGTTATCGCGGACAGTCAACCTCCTACCCCATCAAGTTATTTTACACAAGCAACGCTCCTATTATGCTTCAAAGCGCTCTTGTGTCTAACCTCTACGTCATCTCCCAAGTATGAAGTGTATAGTGGGCCTTTTAATGATTCGTTACTAGATGCTTTCAAGTAAATTCCGAGGGAACTTTTTGATCAACCTGCTCGGTGTGTGGTCTGATGGTGAAGGTGGGACTCGTTCCGCCCCCATTGGAGGTTTGTGCTACTATATGACGCCACCGGACTCGTTATCACAAATGCTACTGGATCCCATCCACGGCATAATCTACATTGCCTTCATGTTAGGAAGTTGTGCCTTTTTCAGCAAAATCTGGATCGATGTGTCCAATTCTAGCGCCAAAGATGTTGCGAAACAACTGAAAGAGCAACAGACGGTTATTCCTGGCCACCGTGAAGAGTCCATGGTTCACGAACTCAATCGGCATATTCCTATAGCTGCTGCTCTCGGTGGTCTTTGGATCGGAGCTCTTTCCGTCTGTGCTGACTTCTTGGGTGGGTCTCGTATTTTCCGTTGTGATTTTCCCATCGTTCAGCTTTTGTGTGACACGGCTTTGTGCAACCTTTGCATTCTGGCAACTTACGTGGTGTCCGTTTTTTAGGTGCTATCGGCAGTGGAACAGGCATCCTAATGGCAGTGACCACAATCTACCAATACTATGAAGTCTTTGTCAGAGAGCAGAACGAGATGGGTGGCTCTATGAGCACATTGCTCTTCTAGGTTTTATTTTGAGAGACAAGGCTTGACTACTTGGTGCGTCCGTCGAAGTTCTGACCCGGCATTATCTTACAATGCTCAACACGTCCCCCATGTACTGAGCTTGTAACATTGGTCAATTTATATTTTGCAATAGATCATGAGATGTTGGTGTTTTGTGAATATTTTATACCTTCGTGTTGCATCTCGGTCGTAAGCTCTCCCTATTATGCCCTCTAGCGATTGGAACACCAACCACCCACACCTGTCATTCATCTACTTCTCTACCTTACTGCCTTTGTCATTTTACATACTGGCATATGCGATTTCCAACCGTTACTATTTTCCCCAAGTACCATTACTTCATTGTGTACACATTTCATCTATTGCTAAATTGAGTTGTTATCTCAGCTCCTCATCTGCATGCAGTTGTTATTAAATTGTAGGAAGGGGGGCCGAAAGTACAAACTTGTTTATTTGGTACCAATATTTACTTCCTGTACGCCCTTTTGGGGCTCGTTACATCTATATGCGCTGGCACTGTATGTCCTATGTTTGAAAGGTGCGCAAGGCAGCTAGTTAATGCCTGGCCGAACTGGAGTGCCGATTGCACATAAAGAACTGGGCTTCCAGTATTCTCAGTCTTTGATGCTATGCATGTCAGCTCAGTAGCAGTCTGCGACGACTTGCACTGCTCTTCTAGTATTAACAAACACCGTTGTGTGCTTTCAACGTGTACTTGGTACCATTAGGGAGGATGCCGGTAGGTTCGCGAGATCTGATTATGTAACACGGTGTGAAGGAGCTGAACGTCGGGTGCCTAATCAGTCTTATTGCAGTAAAACGTGAAATCATTTGCATGACTTCGAAGTATATTTTAGAGATAGCGTTTCTAGTCATGACGGAATTTTCGGGAAGCAGCGCGTGGGGCCCCCAGTACTAGGAAATGTTGGACGTTATTAATCATGCTTTGTACCACAGGTAACAGTATTAAAAGGAGTATGCAACCGAAAATCGAGGCTGTCTTGCTTAGGGTCTCGCCGAGGTTTCACAATAACTCGGTAATTTCCACGCGGTTATCGGACTTATATGATCAGTCTTAAGTACTAGAGGTCTGATATACAATTCATATATGTCGCTTCGAACTACATGAGGCTTTTTAATGAAATCGCTCAAATGGGGGAACCCCTGAACTTAGTGTCGCCCGCATTGATTTGGTATTCTGGTCTACAGTTATAGATGAAAAGGGATTCATATAATTTACTAGTAGTAATTAGCCTCCTGGACTTATGCATCCATAAATACGGACACAGGCATGAACATAGCTAGCCAAAAATTAATTTTTGAGTTATTATCATTAATAAAAATCTAAATAATTAGCAGGATTTAAGATTAAACAAAATGACCAAGAAAATGTGGTGAGAATGTCCTAGATTTTAGCTAAATAGTCCTAGCCATAGAACGAAATAGACAGGTCGAGCAGGCGATGAGTTATTGACCAATTACAAGTCAGAAACTTACGTCAGGCGTCGGCCACCCTAGTCCGATGTTCTAGAATAACCGAGCCTTAAAATGAATAAGACTGGTACTACAGAACAGATTTTGTTGACCTATCAACACCTAGAACCGTACAAAAGGGGTTGTCCACCCGAATCCACCAAGCTGGCTACGTCATTAACTATATGTCGCTGCTTAAGCGTGTCTGTCTCTGGCTAGCTTCATATATTTCCGGCATGTCATTGAAGCACAAAAAGACAGAGGTACGCGTGGTCCAAAATGTCTGCGCGCTTTATACGTCGCTATGTGGAATACCCGAGCCCAAGTATGAAGATGAATGGTACAAAAGAACAGGCTTTATTGACCAGTCACAAGTCAGAACCACACGTCAGGCACCTTCCATCCGAATCCACCACGCTGGCCACGCCGCTCAATATATACTGTATCTCACTGGTGTCCTTCTCTGGTTGACGGTTTATCTTTCTCGCATGCCATAAGAACTCAGAGAGACACAAGATTGGCTGAGGCCAGGTGGTCCAATATGTCTGCTACCTGATCCGTCGCTACACCAATGTACGTTTCAGCCACATGGTATGGTCAAGAAGAGAATAAGACAAAGTGGATTCTTTTAATAAAGGTCACAATCTGGTCAGTCCGTATGGGGAAGACAGGGGCTTTACATATCCTTGTCCTGTACTTCCTGTTTTCCCGTTGGTCCGTTTTGCGTCGCTACAATGACAGATGGCAGCCATATTGGTGACGGTAGTCAGCACGACTTGGAAGCGACGCCACGTGACCGGTGGTGCGACTTCCGGCTGCGTGGCGGCGTGCGGGCATGGAATGACGCGCCGGGGGCTGAAAGCGAATCCGCTCGCGAGTTTTCCGTCTCCATTGCAGCGACGCAAAACGAACCACCGGGAGAACAGGAAGAATAAGACAAGGATATATAAAGCCCCTGTTTTCCCCATACGGACCGACTAGTTTGTGACCAGACTGTAGTGCTTCCTGTATCTAGTAAAGTTATCCGTTACCTCTCACTCTTGTTCTTACCACGGGCCCAAAACCTATAGTGGCGACGGATCAGGGCGCAGATATATTTGACCACCGGGCCTCAGCCAATCCTGTGTTTCTCTGCGTTCCAATGGCATACGAGGAAGATAAGCAGCCAACCAAAGAAAGACACGACTGAGGTGCAGTATATAATGAGCGGTGTAGCCAGCGTGGGGGACTCGGATGAAAGGCGCCTGACGTGTGGCTCTGGCTCGTGGTTGGTCAATAAAGCCTATTCTGTTGCACCAGTCTTCTTCCTATTATGGCTCGGGTACTCTACTTTGGTGACAGCGGGTGCGTTCAAATAACGCGAATCGGACCCCAGCCCTTTCTCTTCAATGGTCAACAGAGGCAAAGACCCTTAAATGACAGCTGAAATTGTCATGGCGGTCATCCCATGTCCAATAAACTAAATTCATAGACATTGCCCGGGATTAGGACTACTGCATCTAAAGTGGCATTGGCACCTCAGCGACGAGGGCATGGACAGTAGAAACCAGCTGGACTGCAACTGCGAATGGACCTACCATGGACGAGGAATTTTTTCTGCAAGTCTACAAGAGCAAATTGCCTCGTCAACTATTCGCTTGGGCCACCATTCTGCCAGATGTGGGGTGCGGTATGCGTCGAACTGGATATTTTAACAATCAGGAACAGTGCGAAGAACCAAGCCAGAAACTGAGGTCAGCTTCACTCCTGAGGGGGAGGCAGTGTGGCGACGGATCAGGGCTCAGACATATTGGACCACGCTGGCCTCAGCCAATCCTGTGTCTCTCTGCGTTCCCTTGGCATGCGAGGAAGATAAGCAGCCAACCAGAGAAAGACACGAGTGAGGTGCAGCATATGATGAGCGGCATGGCCAGCGTGTCGGACTCGGATGGATGGCGCCTAACATGTGGTTCTAGCTCGGGATTGGTCAGTAAAGCCTGTGCTGTTGCAAAAGTCTTCTTCCCATTAGGGCTGGGGTATTCCACAGGAACGACGTCTGAGGGCGCAGACATTACGAACCACGCTAGCCTCAGCCAATAATCTCTGTCTGATGTGAAATGTCTAAATGTGAAATCCTTCCCCAATACCACAACCTACACGCAAAATGAGCACTTCTTCCTAAGTCACGTTCCATCGGCTGGGGTCTCTCACATTACTGTCTGTTGTCACAGAACGTTGTCCAGATGATCCAAGCTTAACATCTACAACGAGAGTTCTCAAGGCTTGATGCATTCTCTTATACAGGAAACCCGGTTCGGAACCTAAGGAAACACACCTTCTACGAAACTCGATCAAACATCTTCAGTATCTACCATACTATACTTACATAAGAACCTAGATAAGTACATAAGTACAGGCATCCATTAATGTGGTTAAAATTAAAAATACACATTAACCAGGAGAAATACAATAAACTTAATTATTCACCATTTTCAAATCTGACCAAAAAGACAGAAAGATAAGAATTTGCATACAAAGTCCTACTATGATAAAACGTGATTGAATAATAAGCACAATTAGGGACACTTTGGGTTACCACCGCCAATTTGATTTTTCATCAATACTAAAGAAACCAAGACACACTTAGTGCTAAGCCAAAAGACAGAACCAGCATAAAACAAAAAACAAAGGCATTATATTCAACAACAAACAAGGGAATAAAAAACACAAAACCAAGCGCGGACATATTGGATCACACGGAGCTCAGCCAATCCCCTGTCGCTGTGTGTTTGAATTGCTTGAATCGGGAGACAGCAGTCAATCAGAGACAAGCTGTGTGCATTGAACAGTGTAGCCAGCATAGTGGACTCGGATGCATTGCGCCTGACGAATGGTTCTGGCTTGCGGTGCTTCTGGACTATGGCTCAAGTATTCGACATTAGTGACACCGCTTGCATTTGTATAAAGTGAATCGAACCCCAGCCCCCTACCTGTTCTAATATGGAAAATAGAAACAGAGGTCCAGTAATGCCGGCTTCATTTTTTCATAGCAGTTCATCCAATATACCTAACTACCGGATACATGAACAGTGCCAGGATTCTGACTACTGCATCCAAGGGGGTATCAGCAAATCTACAAAGACAAGAGGGAAATTAGAATCCAGTTGGACAGCAATTGGAGATGGAAACTGCGATGCCTGAAGCGGCCTTCTCGCAAGTCTACCTGGCACTTGAGCCACTCTCCTGCCAGGTGTGTGGCATTGGATGACATCAAGGTGTGCAGATTCTCATTGCGATCGTCATGAAGAAGGCAAAGAACTGACGGCGGCCTCTCTTTAGAGGAGGAGAAGGAGAAGGAGGTGAGCAGTGTATTGATGCTGGTGTGTGTGGACATATTAAATCACGCCAAGTTCAACTTCTCCTTTGTCTTTTTGCGTCTGAAGACTTACTTTAAAACTTTGTAGTCATTTTGTTACAATGATTGCTGAAAGGCATTATATGGTAAGCGGCGCAACCAGAACTGAATTAGGATGGATGACTCTATGGTG